GGCCGCCATGCGAACCCTGCCACTGGGGCGTTCGGTGGAGCTCCCATATGGGGCCACGAGCCGTGTGAAGGGTGCGCCAACATGGGGCGGGGCCGCCATGCGAACCCTGCCGCCGGTTCCTTCGGTGGAGCACCATATGGGGCCACGAATCGAGTGAAGGGTGCACCAACATGGCGCGGGGCCGCCATGCAAACCCTGCCACTGGGGCCTTCGGTGGGGCTTCCTATGGGGCCACGAACCGTGTGAGGGGTGCGCCAAAATGAGGCGGGGCCGCCATGCGAACCCTGCCGCTGGGGCCTTCGGTGGAGCTCCCATATGGGGCCACGAGCCGTGTGAAGCGTGCGCCAAAATGGGGCGGGACCGCCATGCGAACCCTGCCACTGGAGCCTCCGTTGGAGCACTTTTTGGCGCCACGAACCGTGTGACGTGTGCGCCAAAATGGCGCGGGGCCGCCACGCGAACCCTGCCACTGGGGCGTTCGGTGGAACTCCCTATGAGGCCACGAACCGTGTGAGGGGTGCGCCAAAACGCGGGGCCGCCATGCGAACCCTGCCACTGGGGCCTACTGGGTGGGTGAAACGCAAGGAGGAGGGAGGAGGAGGGGGAGGAGGGCGGGAAGGAAGGAACGCGGGGCAGCGTTTTTTTTGTTTGCAAAACGAGGACCCAACACCACAGGATGGTTGGGAAATAATATAAAACACAATATCCATATAATATGTTGAAATTGTCCCCCCGACATGCTAAACTTTTTTGTTTGACTTCCCGTGCAGGAACCTCACCCCCCCCCGCCTTTCCGCCTCACTCACGCATTCGGCCCGTCTCATCATCATCACCATCGGTCATCGTCACCATTTGTCATCGATCAAGCTCATCATCATCATCGTCATCATCGCCAGCATAATCCTTACCACCATCACCCTAATCATCCTTCGACCACTCATCATCAACATCATCTCATCATCATCAGTACTCACGCACTCAGCATCACTCAGCCACTCATTCAACTCATCAATCATTTGCATCACTTCGGCATCACCCACTCCTTAGCTTGAATGTGGAGGACGTATCAAGCGGGAATTTCGTTTGTGAGTGAACTGCGAGGAGGTCTCAAGTGGGAACCCCGTCTTTTTGGGGTCCGCAGTTCGTGTTCGAATCTGAAACGGGTCATCCTCAGACCTGTAACTGTCGTCGTTTTTGGGCTCCTCGGGCTTGAATATCGAGGAAGTCTCAGGAACGAGCCTCGTCCGTGACTGGATTGCAAGGAAGTCTCAAGCGGGAGCCCCCTTTCCTATGGAACCCGCACTGGACGTTCGAATCCGAGGCGGGTCATCGCAAAACCTATATCTGTCGTCACTAGTGGGCTCCTCATGCGTAAACATGGAGAAAGTCTCAGGCGGGAGCCTCGTCTGTGAGTGAATTGCGAGGAAGTCTCAAGCGGGAGCCACCCGCCCTATGGGGCCCGCGCTTGGCGTTTGAATCCGAAGCGGGCCATCGCAAAACCTGTAAATGTTGTTACTGTTGGGCTCCTGAGATTTGAACATGAGGGGAGTCTCAGGCGGGAGCCTTGTTTGTGAGTGAGCCGCAGGGAAAACTCAAGCGGGAACCCCCTCCTTGTAGTGCCCGCGCTCGACGTTCGCATCTGAGGCGGGTCATCCCATAACCTGTAACTGTCGTCATTTTGGGGCTCCTCAGGCTTGACTATGGAGGAAGTCTTAGACGGGAGCCTCGTCTGTGGGTGAATTGCGAGGAAGTCTCAGGCGGGGGGCCCCTCCCTATGGGCCTGCATTTCTATTTGCAATCCGAGCGGGTCATCGGAAACTTGTAAGTGTCTACTTCCTTGCTCCTCAATCCTGAGTACGAAGGAAGTCACAGGCGGGAGCCTCGTCTTGGAGTGAATTTCGATGAGGTCTCAGGCGGGCCCCCCCTCCTTTTGGGGCCTGCGCTTCATGTTCGACCCGGGTCATCGTCAAACCTGTAACCGTTATCACTTTTGGGCCCCTCAGGCTTACAAATGGAGGGAGTTGCAGACGGGAACTTCGTCTGTGAGTGAATTGTGACAAGGTCTCAGGCGGGAGTCCCCTCCCTATGGAAGTGGCATTTCATGTTGATTCGAGCGGGTCATCGGAATCTTCTACTTGTCGTCACTTTTGGACTCCTCAAGCTTACGGAGAAAGTCTCAGGCGGGCCCCCAAGATGGGAAAACCCGCGCGCCAATGAATCATGCCGTGGCGACGCTGGGGCGGTTTGGGGGCCTCATGGAAGGCTTCTTGGGGCCCTCCTGGAAGGCCTCCCCGGGCCTCGGGGCAGCTCGCGGCAGAGCTGGACTTTGCACGGGGAACAACAAAAAAGGACTTACACAAAAAAAACTCGGAGGTCCAGCGCCGATCCGAGAAATCCGCGCGGACCTCCGAGTTTTTATGCTCAAGCCACTTGTTGTTCCCCTATTTGTGCTGCCTCCCGCCGGAGCGCGGCCGCGACTAGCTCGGTGCCTGCGGGGATCTCCCCGAAGTGCTGGCTCGAAGGGTTGCCCCGACGGCTTCGAGGCCCGGCCGGCCGGCGGAGAACGCGCCCGTGTCGGCCGTGGCGGCGACGGCGGCGAGGAACATCGATTTGCCCCGGCCACGAGGCAGCGGAGGTGCATGCGGAGAACAGACGGGAAGAGGATATGAGAGAGAGAGAGGGAATGAGGAGGACTGCGAGGAGGACTGCGAGGAGGACTGCAAGGAGGAGGAGGAGGACGAGAAGGAGGAGGGAAGTAGGGCCAAGTAGGGACGAGGAGAAGGAGGCGGAGGAGGAATAGGGGAGACGAGAAGGACGAGGAGACGGAGGGCGAAGATGGCGAGGAAGAGGGACAGACAAAACATCGGCCGAGAGAGGTCTCTCCGCTAAGGCGGCAAACAAAACAACGATGGGTAAGCTCAACTGATCCTCGTGTGGGGTCCCACCGTCGGAATAGCTTGGAATCTTCCTCCTGTAGAGGGACGTGCCCGACTTCACCCTGGCGTTAGGTCGGGCATGTCCCCCTACAGGAGGATTCTGAACGGACAATGTGACATAGTCAAAACGTGCTCCCAAAATGGTCCCAAAATGCGAAACAAATCGTGCCCAGACTCTGTGTTGACTATTCTTGACTACTCCTCTCGAGAGAGGGACAGGCCCCGCTTCAGCTTTGGCGCCTCCCTGTGGCGCTGTCGGCTCTGCTGGTAGAGCTCGCCCTGCGTGTGGCGCAGCTCCCGCGCCGCCCGGTCCGCCGCGGCGTCCGCCTCCTCCAGCAGGCCGAAGTCGCGGGTGGCAGGGTCGGGGCAGGCGGCCGGCGCTGGGCGGCGGGCGCGGCGGGGAGCACCAGCCAGCGTCAGTAGAGAGGCCCAGGGGCACAGGAATAACTAAGTGCGCACAAATCCCAGGATCCCCTATATGTTTGCATATTTGTTGGATGTTCGTATCCCCCCCACTTCCCATGTTTTTTTTTCCACATGTTCCTGGGAATCGACGATTAATTGTGCCTGTGTTTCTTTCCCTCTTGATTTAGGTCGGACGAACAATTAAAAAACATTAAATCCATGTCCAACAATGGTTATGTATATATATATAGATATAGTTATAAGCATTCCCACATTGTTTTCTGACTATGTTGGGATTATCCCCCCTGTAGAGGGGCATGCCCGACTTAAAGCCAGCTGCAATCACCGTGCTTCGCGGGTGACCCGGCGGCCAGCAGGAGGCTGGCCCTTCCCCAGTCTGCCCTGGAGGCAGCCCTCATGTTATGCTGTTCCCATCGTGCTTAAGGGCGACATCCCCAAAATAATTTCGAACACCCAGAAACGTATCGAAACAGTGTCGAACGAATCTCACCTCCCAGGGCCCGAAGCGTGAAAACCACTCCAGTTTCGCAACTTCCTCGGTGCTCGAAATTCTTTCTGGTGATCAAGGCTACAATCGGTAGGAGCATCATAATCCAAATGGCGTTCCAGCACGGTAGGAGCTCGGTCACAAGAAACCCTCCACAAGAAACCTAACCAGGAGACCCCAAGACGTCCCTTGATCTTTGGCATGGGAACGTCACGCTTTCCATCGCGAAACCACCGAAGTCCAAGAAACCCAGGGCACCCTGGAGGCAAGCAGAGCGACTCTTGGCATGGATTTCCGCTGGAGAAGGGGCAGGAGGACCGTGCCACATCGCCAGTGCATCCCCGGCGAAGTCGGCGCTGCATCGGCGAAGTCGGCGATGCTTCGGCGACGTGGGCTCGGAGAGAATCGGCCTCAACTTAGCGCCGCATCGCCAATGCATCGGCGATGCGGCGCGATCCTGTGGCCCAATTGAAATCCAGTTGGGAGGCCTGGGCAAATGGATGCACGACCGGTCTACGAAAACGTAGGCTTGCGCACCCCCTGGGTATCACATGCACCAGGGAGACAATGTCTTCCCTGACCTGCACGCGCTGCGAACAGAATTTGAACGACGCAAGGTGTTTGGTCAATTTGGCCCTCCAGGCCCACGACCGTCAGAATACGGTGCACATTGAGAAGCTGGCCCCGGGGATGGAGTTCGGCCTCCTGGGGGTCGACAATGTCAGAACAACGACGTCGGAGTTATGGGCTTGCCATGGTCAGCACAGGACCACACGTGTAACGAAGCTAAGCTTGTGGATGCCACGACAATGGACACCCTAACATTCCTGTCCTTGAATCTAACATGTGTTTAGTATACCGGAAAGACTTTCTAAACATGGTTTAAGCATGTGCTTGTACATATTTGAGACATGTTTAACACATTGTTTAGACACCTGGAAATTATGTGGCAACATTCAGCGTTCAATGTCGACGGGTGTGGAGAGCTGCCTCGCCCTCTCCTCGCCGGGCGAATCCGAGCACGAGCGCAGCGCTCGCTCGCGCGAAGGACCGACGCTCGCCGGTGCCAGAATCAGGGCTGGACCCAAGCGTTGTTGTGCGCTTCGTTTTCGTTTTGTTGTTCGTTTTGCTCGCTCTGTTTTCCTGTACCTCCCTCCCAGAACGAAAAACCAAACACAGCCGAGATCCAGAAAAACAGCGTTTAGGCCCAGCCCTGGCCAAAATCGCAGCATGACCACCATCAGAACATCGAGGAAGTCAGACTTCCATTGTGGCTGCGCTGTCCGTTGGCTGCTTCTCTTGGTGCGCCGACCGTCGACTACTCGGACCGCCTGGCTCCGACCCACGATGACGTCCTGGTTCGAGAAGGCCCGCAGCGGCGCCACGAAGCTGGTGCGGGGCCGCTTCCCGCTGCACTCGCGCTCCTCTTAGGTCGGGCATGTCCTTCTCAAGGCGGATTTCGGGCGAAAGCTGAAAAACATTTAAAGCAGAGTCAAGCCTTGTCAAAAGTAACAGGAAAATCGTCCCACAACTATTTTCTGACATTTTTTGAACCTTCCCCCTGCAGAGGGACACGCCCGACTCAACGCTCCTCCTTGTGCGCCCTGACGCACGCGGCGCTGCAGGTGCGCAGCTCACAGGCGGGGCAGCGGTACTTCGCAGCGCCCTCGCCACACCACTCGCACAGGGCCGGCCTTGTCATGGGGGGGGGGGCGGCGGGCGGGAGGGAGGGGAAGCAGGTGGGAGAAGGAGGGACGGAGGAGACAGTTCAGAGAACGAAGGAGGAGGACGAAGAGGAGGAGGACCAGGATATGGAGAAGCAGGAGCAGGAGGGGAAGGTAGACACCGACGACAGGAGGACGAGGCGCATCCTCGACCTCGCCAATCCACCCCCCCCCCCCTCCGCCCCCATAACTGGAAGTCTCCAGAGGCCTATGGACCCCCCTGGCCTCCTGCGGCCTCCAAGAAATCAACAAGGCCAAAGAAACACGCAAACACTAATCCGTGATCCTCCTCCTCCTCGTCCTCCTTCTCCCTCGTCGTTGCGCCCGTTCGGGAGGACGGGGCCAGAAGGCCGCGGCACGATGCCGCACCGGCGTCCGACAGTGCCCAGAGCGACGGTACCCGCACCAGCCCAGAGCGCAAGGTTGACAGCGTGGGGCTTTTAGCATCGCCAGAGGGGGAACTTCTCCTGCTCCTCCTCCTCCTCCTTCTCCTCCTCCTCCTTTTTCCCCTTCCTCCTCCACGTTTCCTCCTGCCTCTCCTCCCCCTTGTCTTCCCCCTACTTCTCCTTCGCATCATCTCCTCCTCCTCCTCCTCATCATCCTCCTTCTTCTCCTTCTCCCCCCTCCTCCTCCTGCATGCATGCCTCCCCTCCTCCTCCAAGCCCTTCTCTGCTCGTCTCAAAAGTGAGCAACACCTTGAATGAAGGAGGTCGGGTTCTTTTCAAAAATGTGGCTTTCGCCTTGGCGCCGCGCACACTCGTTTCAGAATTTTAAAACAGAGGCTTCAAGGATGGAGGGCGGGTCCTTTCCGACATCTGGCTCTGTCCTTGGCGCCGCGCACATTCGTCTTAAAAAATCGCAGGAACTTCCAGGATGGAGGGCGGGCCAGTTTCATTATGTGGCTCCCCGCCTGAGCGCCGCGCACATTCGCCTTAACCATTCACAGCAATTTCAATCATGGAGGGCGGTTCTTCTATAGCATGTGAATCTCGCTCTAAGAGCCGCGCACATTGGCTTTGACGTTTTGCAGCGTTTTAAACAGTTTGCATGGTTCAAATCCCACGAACTGCTTTCGGGCACGATCTAGGACTGTCAAGGCGGACATATCAAGCTAAATCACGGTGTTGAACAAAAGCCATACTCGGTTTTCTAACACGATTCAGTTATGTCTTCGGACTGACCATCGCGACCGCCGAGAATTACCATTTAGTGGCACTCAGTGGCCGCTTAGCGGCCTGCAGCAGCCGTTCAATGGCACTTAGTGGCACTTAACGGCCTTTTAGTGGCACCTAGCGGCCCCAAAACTTAACGTCTAGTGGCACCTAGCGGCCGCTACTGGCTGCGAGAAGTACCATTTAGTGGCACTTAGTGGCCGCTAGTGGCTCCGAGAATTACCATTTAGCGGCACATGGTGGCCGTTAGTGGCTCCGAGGAAAAAAAAACCATTTAGCGGCACGTAGTAGCCCGAGGTCAACAATTTAGGGGCACTTAGTGGCCGTGAGTGGTTCCGAAAATTACAACGTAGTGGCACTAAGTGGCCGTTACTGGTTCCGAGAATTACCATTTAGTGGCACCTAGTGGCCGCGTAGCCCCACCTGAGCCACGGGCATGTAAATCAGGGCTCGGGGTCGCCGACCTCCGTGAAACAAACACCGCCGGCCCCATCGGGACCGCAAAGGTTCGTGCCGCTAAGTGCCGCTATCTTCAAAAAAACATCAAATTCGTTCAGGATTGCCGGGACGCACCGGTCACATTGATTCGTGGCTTCTCTTTTGGCGCGACTGGAGATTCCCAGACGGTTGTCTTCCAATGGGGCACTTCCCGAAGTGGAGAATCCATGTTTGACCTATGAAGACAGAACTTGGAGGAATCGTGTATTGCAACGTCGTTGATTCGTCTTGGGCTTACACTGGTCCTCCTCCTCCTCCTGCTTCTTCTCCTCCTCCCACTCCTCCCTGTCCTCTTCCCTCTCCTCCTCCTCCTCCTCCTCCTCCTCTTCTTCCTCCTCCCTCTCCTCCTCCCCCCAAATCCACCTGCATCCTCCTGCCTCTCAGGACTCCTCCGCTCCTCCTCCCCCTCCCCTCCCCTCCCTGCCGCCCACGGCGCGCCCCTGCCTACGTCGGGGCCCACCCCGAGGGCGGGGGGGAGCGCCGAAAGGGGGTTGGCACCGCGGACGCGGCATCGGAGGTGCGCCGCAGCCTGGCGAGCAGGGTGCTGCAGGGGAGCTGGCACGTTCCTGGCCGCAGCGGGCCCTCGACAAGCAGTGGCGACGCACGCGCAACTCAAGGCGCCCGCCCCCTCCACACAGACACAACACTGGTACTACAGCTCCTCACTCCCCCGAAGTCGCTGGTGAGGTGTCCTGGTCTCCTCCACGTATCCTTTTTGACACACAGAATTCCGCCGCATTGATCATCCATGTATGTGTTTCCCATCTGAACCCTTTCAATTATTTCAGAACGGCGCTCCCGCTACAACACTGGCTCCAGGTTCCGATTCTCAGTCCTTCCAAATCAGGTTCCCGCTATAGCGCTGACCTCATATCACTGTTCCGGTTCATCCAAATCGTTTTCCTGCTGCAGCGTTAGCTTCGTTTCCGCGTCCAGTCCTTCCAAAGCGTGCGCATACTGCAACGCTGGACTCATTTCCACAAATTCTGCCCTTCGAAAGCTGCAGCAACGCTGATCTAATTTTGCGATTCCCGCTTCCCAAATCGTCCATTTGAATTTCTCAACCTGTGAAATGTCTGGTTTCCCTCTGACCTTGTTGTCGAAATGAATCGCGTACTCGACGCGATGCCATGCTACGCAGTGCTGTACCATGCATCGCGCACTCTCTTCGGATCATTGCCCTCTTCGACATGCGACTGTGCGAATATAGAAGATATATACGCACTTGTACGGGATGGGAGGGAAGGGTAGGACGCCAGATACGATGCTTGCGCACCTAGCTTGCAACCCATCCCCCCGCCCATCCCCCCTCCCGGCCCCTCCCCCCTCCTCGCCCCTCCCCGCCCCTCCCCCCTCATCGCCCCTCCCCGCCCATCCTCCCTCTCCTCACCACCCCATCCCTCCTCCCCTCATTCGTCTCCCTCTCCCCCGAAGCGGCACAAAACTACGGAGGTGGTGCCCCTGCAGACCTCACGAGGCGCCGGAACCGCCAGAAGACAACGATACGAGTGAGAGGCAGATCCCCAGGAAGGGATCTAGACTTCGGGGGGTCGACTTCGTGAAGACAGCTCATGGCGTCTGGGGTCTGGGTATACCTGGAGAAGGACTCGGAGGCCCTGAGATCCGGCGGCGCTGGATGATAAAGTGGGCGCCGGGCCGCCTTAGAGCGCCGCCGAACGCCCTGAGAGCGCGCCAAATTGCGCAGGAGCGACTTACTGCATCCTCCCAAACCATCCTCCGATATGATGTTTTCAATGGGGTCGTTCTGCATGCAAGGAACATGTTTGAAGCCGCAGAGTTCGTAAATGGGCCCTGGAGGCCTGGAGGCCGAAATTGAGAAACACAAGCGCGATTGGAAAACGTCATGTCGTCCGAGATCTAGAGCAGCTCACTCAATATCTTTCTGTGAAGGAAAGAGCCAAGAAGAAGGACTAGACGCAGCCAGCCTGAGAGAGCCAGTGGGCGTGTGGTGGAGCAAGGGTCAGGGAGCAGAGGCAAATGGCAGCGCGCGCAGGCGTGGCGTCCGTCGGATCGGCAACGGATCGAATCGGCAACGGCTCGTGGCCGCGCCTGGATCGCCGCGGAACCGAATCGGAATCGCATCGTCTGGGATCTACGATCGGGCTCGACCATCCAATGCCTTGCCGCGATTGGAGCGGGTCCCGAGGCAAGCGGGCCCCGGGCTGCGACGCTCTCCCCAGTCGGGCCGGGCGAAAGGGGGGGAGGCGGCCATGTATCGAGGAATGGGCCCCTCGGTGGGGCCGAAACCAGCTGCATGCAGCAGATTTCGTCCCCCCCCCTTTCCCAATCTCCCCCTCTCGTCCTGCCCGACCCAGGGCCGACCCCCCCCCCCCCCGAGGGTCGCTTTGTCCGGCGGTCCTGGGGCTCCCCCCATGCTCTCGCGATCGCTCGGACGCCCAAACGGTTCTGAGAACACTGTTTGGTAGGGCTACAGGCACGCCCGGACGCTTCGTCACTGCTTGACCCAAAGCCGACCCAACCCCCACCGAGGGTCGCTCTGCCCGGCGGTCCCCGGGGCTCCCCCCCGCATGCCTCGCGGTCGCTCGGGCCCCGTGCGCAGGTGTCCGCTCCGCGCTGCTCTCCCGCGCGAGGATCCAGGATCGAGGATGGACAGAACCCCCTTTAGCAAAACGTGGTTTAGTGAAAACGACCTCGGGCCCAAATCTGGCGGGCGAAAGCCTGGAAACTGACGGCCACGGCGCCCTCTCGAGAACCGAAAACGGACAATTCACTAATCGACGTGTCACTATTGGGGGTTCTGTCCAGCCCCGACAGGACGCTCCTCGGTGGCCTCCGCCGGCTCGACGTGCGCGCGCCCGAGCGATGGCAAGGTGATCCAGGACGCTCCTCGGTGGCTTCCGCCGCAGCGGCGTGCACGCGCGCCCGAGCGATGCCGCGGGCCCCTCGGGGGCCGAAAGCAGCGAGAGGCCGCAGGACTCCCCCTCCTCCCCGGAGGCCTCCCCTCCCCCCTCACGGTGTGTGTCCTCACCCCGCTGCTGCTGCCAATGCTGAAGGGGCCCTGGGACACACAAATAAACACACACAAATAAACATGTTCCTATCTTTTCCCATATTTTCTGGGTTTTTGTTTTCCCCCCCACTTCCCATAATTTCCCATATTTTCTGGGGAATCGACGATTAATTGTGTCTGTGTGTTTCTTTTCCTCCTGAAATGCCGCCGACGCTGCTGCTGCTGCTGCTGCTCCTGCCTCGGCCTCAGCCGGTGCTCCTCCCACCAGATGCTCGACCCTGCACGCCAGTCGGAGGAAGCACGACAACCAGGAAGCAGGAGGGCGGATGCAGATGTGGCTTAGGCCCTCCCAGGGGATCACAAAACACAGCGCACGCCCATCGATGCTTGAAGTGGGGAAGCGCTGGAAGTAGAGTGGGGAAGCGCTGGAAGTAGACTGGGATCTGGGGAACCATTTTTTGTCTGTATAAACAACTGTCAACGACCGGCGTGTACGACACTTCGTCCTGGGCCCTGGATTTGAGTCGGGCGTGTCGCCCTACAGGCGGATTTTGGAAGAAATACATGTGTATATATATATATATATATACATGTATATATAAATATACCAAAAATATCAAAACAAAACAAAAACATGAAACATATAAACAACATGGCCACCAGACTATGGCTTGACTATTTTTGGGAATTCCTCCTGTAGAGGGCCAAGCCCGACCTAACCCTGGATCCTGGAGATCCCCGACCCTTTGAGCAGGGACCGACCGTCCCGGCCTTCGTATAGTCCAACCACGAAATGTTCTTAGAACCCAGATATGTTCTAAGAACAGAAAACAGAAGCAATGTTCTTAGAACCTTCACCCGATGTGTTAAAAACAAGACAGTCCCAACCAGACATGTCCGAAGAACATGCCGTGGAAGCCACAAACGGTTCTTAGAACATGGTTTGGTAGGGCTACAGGCACGCCCTTTGTGGGCCCCGGAAACGGCAGGGCAGTTTTTTCACCGTTTCCAAAACATGTCCCTTAAAAATGAAAACAGCAAAAAACGGCGACCGGAAACGGCAAAAAACGCTCCAGGATTGGAACCAAAGCCGGAACTGGTAAAAAAACGGCGACGGAACCTGTAAAAAAACGGCGTCGGAACCGGCAAAAAAACGGCAAAACGGAACCGGTAACAAAAACGGCCCTGTCGTTTCCAGGGCCCGCCAAGGGTAGGGCTACAGGCACGCCAGGACGCTTCGTCACTGCTTGCACCCTGCCTCTTCGATCGCGCCTCCTGCAGCCTCCTCCTCCTCCTCCTCCTCCTCCTCACCATCATCATCCCCACATCCTCCTCCTCCTCCTCCTCCTCCTCCTCCTCCTCCTCCTCCTCCTCCTCCTCCTCCCCCTCCTCCTCCGCTTCGTCACTGCTCGAACCCTGCCTCTTCGATCGCGCCTCCGGCAGCCTGGCCCCGCCTCCGGCTCGGCCCCGGCAGCCGCCGCCGCGGGGCCCGCGGGGGCGGAGGCCATGTGGCGGGGGCGAGAGAGGGCAGGGGCCGCGCGCGCGGGAGCGGCGGGAGGGGCGGCAGCTCGGCACGGGGGGGAGGGAGGGGGGGAAGGAAGAGAGGGGGGGAGCGAGATACGTCTACACAGAAAGAGGAAGAGAGAGAGAGAGAGAGAGAGGGAGAGGGGGAGAGAGAGAGAGAGAGAACAAGAAAACGGCATAGAGAGAGGCAGAGGGAGGGATAGAGAGAGGGGGGGGGAGAACACCGAACGACAACGGGGGGAGAGAGAGCGTGAGAGAGAGAGAGGGAACAAAAGAGAGGGAAAGATAGAGAGAGAGAGAGAGAGAGAGCGAGACATAGACACACACATATACATATAATTTACGAGAATGAGAGAGAGAGAGAGAGAGAATGAGCGAGACAGAAAGAGACTAACTTATTCAGAAAGAGAGAGTGAGAGAGAGAGAGAGAGAGACGGAGGGAGGGAGGGAGGGAGGGAGGGCGGAGAAAACGCAAAACACTTCTGACAGCAGGTCTGCCCAAGCCCCGAGGCTGCCGGCGCCCCACGGGCCCACCGCACCACGCGGGAGGTGCCGCTCACGAGCCAGGGGTGCTTCGGGTGGACCCAGCAGGGGGTCCAGCGACAAGGGGGTGGTGCAATACAGTCGGGGCGCTGACCTAAGGAACCCTAAGTAAGGAACGAGGCTCCTTTTCTCCAGAAGTTGAACTTCGACTGCCCTTCGAAAACCTAGAGAACGCGGGGCAAACTGTGAAATTGTTAAGGAACACGGCGCCCATACCCAACGAAAAGAGTTCCTTCTTCAGCGCCCCGACTGTAGATCTGGTGCAATCGATTTGTGGGGCGTGCAGTACATTTGGGGCGTGCAGCGCACTCTGGGGCGCAAATGTATGGCTGGCTGTTCGCGTGCAGCACACGCCTTGCAACACAATGCAGTGCAATTCGCCGGCGCAGTACTTTTTGCAATACAGTTGCCCCAAATCTATTGCACCATTCCCTTTCAGCTGGACCCCCTTTTGGGTCACCCAAAGTGGTGGGATGGCCCCCCCTGGCGCGGCCACAGGCAGAAGAAAAACCATATAAACATGAACTGTTGGTGGCGCTCCGCCCAGATTTCTCGGATTCGCGCTGGACCCCCTCCCTGGCGCGGCCATAGGTAGAAAAAGAAAAAACAGCATAAACGTGAACTTTTGGTGGCGCTCCGCGCGGATTCCTTGGATCCGCGCCTGGGCGCCCCGGCGGCGCCTCCGGCTAAAAGTTTATGTTTTTGTAGCTGTTTCTTCTTCTTCTTCTCCGAATAGGGGCCCCTTGCTGGAAAGCAAAGCGGGTGCGCGATGATCAGGCCGCTCGAGGGCCCGCCTGCGCACCCGTGGCAGAGTAGTGCCGCCATCCAAAATTCGGCGCTCGGACCGACCCCCCTCTCAAAGCCCTCGGGGAGTGTCCTGGACCACATGCAGGCCTCTGGGTGCCCTCGCCGGGAGCCCGGGGTCGTGCAAAACGATTCGGGCAAGAACGGCGGTGCCCCTGGGGCCGTCCACATCTACGGCTCGGTTGGAGGGGACTGGCCTCCCAGGCACCACACTGTGTTGAAAAGGTCAGGACGTTGGAGTTATGTAAAAAATCCTCCCACCACCCATGATCCCCCCCCATCCCTGGCACTTCTCACCCCTTCCTGCCATCTCATGACTCCTTCCCCTCGTCTGTCTCCTGCTCCTCCTTCTCCACCTCCTCCTCCCGGCGCGTAAACCATTCGTCTCGTATGCTCGCCGCCACGCCCCAGAGCACCCGAGCTTCGGCGGGCCAGCTTGGCAAATGCCCCAGAGTACCAGATGCAGCAGCAAGGACAGTGGCGGGTCCCTCTGTCTGCACGCGGAGAAGCCCAGCAGGAGGTGACGCTTATTTAGATGGTCGCGTGGATGCTCGGCGTGGGGGGCAGGGGGGATGCGCGACCCCCCAGAGAGCGCTGGGTCACTGTGGCAGCTCGCCGCACCCCCCACCACAGTTCGGCGACGGAGACCACGGGCTGCACGCCCAGTCGCGGCAACGGCAGCTACAACCCTCACGAATGGTCCCTAGCGTAGACCGGCATGATCACAACATGATGGCAGCGCGTGATCTTCCCACTATCTTCCTACCCTTCTTCCTCCCTCCTCGAATCCCCACCGACTCCCTATCGATGCCAGAAAGCGGGAACACGGTGCCGACCGCGGAGAGGCAAATAATGACCACTTGGGTAGATCGCGCGTTATGTGTTCTTGTTTGTTTGTTTGTTGGTTCCACCCGCTTTTCAGTGATGCGCCCCACGGGCAAGAACACTGAACTCAACCTGGTGAGAGGAAAGGGCTCGTGGTGCCTGTGGGGGAGGCATTTTGGATGTTTGACCGCAAATTCTCCCCGGTCGGAAATTTGCTCCTCCCATTTGGAATGGCAGTTCACAACTCATTGGGAGCCGACTGGAGCCTTAGGGTAGCGGCGGTGGCAAGCTCGAGCAGGATCGAATCGCGGAACTGGATCGGATGGGCAACGGATCATGATCGCTCCTAGATCGACGCGGAAGTGAATATGTTGGAAACGCGGATCGGGCTCGGTCACTGTAAACCTCGTCATTTAGCCAGAGTGCCCCTGGGGATCCTGAGGCTGTTCTTCTCCAGGACCAATTTATCATTTTCAGTACTGAATGATGGTTTCCAAAATCCTGGGGCCCGTGGAGGTTGAGAGCCCAGGGAGGCAATAAACGATCCGTCCCTTTCCTTCACGGCGAGCCCCTGCAATTCCCTGGACGCCCGAAATGGAGACGGAACATGATGGACCCACGAACCCAGAAAGGGATATAGAACCGCATGCATGGAAACGTTTTCACGACACCGTATTGGGCGACGGGCACTTCCACGAGACACCCCGCGAAACATTCCACGAGCCACGGGCGACCGTTTTCAACGTTTTCCTGGAAACAATCCACGAGACACCCCGCGAAACAGTCCACGAGGCACCGCACGAAACATTCCACGGCGACAGGCAACCACTCAACCAAGGCGGTGTGGTCGTGCTGGGGTGTGGTCGTGCTGGGGCGTGGTCGTGTTGGGGCGTGGTCGTGCTGGGGGGTGGCCGTGCTGGGGGGGTAGTCGTGCTGGGGGGTGGTCGTGCTGGGGCGTGGTCGTGCTGGGGCATGGTCGTGCTGGGGCGTGGTCGTGCTGGGGTGTGGTCGTGCTGTGGTGAGGTCGTGCTGGGGTGTGGTCGTGCTGGGGTGTGGTCGTGCTTGGTGATGGTCTTGCTGGGGTGGGGTCGTGCTGGGGTGGGGTAATGCTGGGGTGTGGTCGTGCTGGGGTTTGGTCGTGCCGGGGTGGGGTGTGGGGTCGTGCTGGGGTGGGGTCGTGCTGGGGTGTGGTCGTGCTGGGGTGTGGTCGTGCTGGGGTGTGGTCGTGGAAACGCATAGAGAACGGCATGCATGGAAACGTTTTCACGACACCGTATTGGGCGACGGGCACTTGCAATGCTGAAGGTGTCGATGGCGATGTGCGCTGCCAGGGGCTGTGCTGTGCCGTGCTGTGCTGACTTGGAATTTGCCATGCTGCGCTGAACTGTGCTGCGTCGAATCGACCCGAATCTGCCGCACCCTGGAATCCACTCAAAACGAGCCCCCGGACCCGTCCCGGAGTCCAAAAGCACAAGTTTCCCGCGCTGCGTCAAAAGGAAAGGAGTATCTAGCCAATTCATGACCGAGTGACGTGGGCGCACGGTGCGATATGTGCATCGCGCCCCATAAGGCAAATCTGTAGGCACATACGTAAAAACACACGGATTCGCGCCCCTGGAGAAATCAAATCTATACGCACAGACGTAAAAGTACATGGATTCGTGCACCTGGAGAGGGCAAATCTACAGGCACATACATAAAAAACACACGGGTTCGTGCACCTGGAGAAGGCAAATCTCTGGGGCGCCCAGATCCCTCAAGTTCTGCAAAACAAGCGATTCGCTCGAGACATCCTCGGTAACTCTGCGGAGCAAGCGTTTCGCTCGAGACATCCTCAACACACGAAAGAGTGACCCGCACCCTGTGATTAATCGATCGGGATTTCAAAAACAAGCGTTTCGCCTGAGACATCCTCAAATTTTAATCCGCCGCCCCACCTCGACCTCGATATTTATCAAGGGAAGAATCCGCCGGCCCACCTCAATTGAGGCACCGGGGACAGATTTACCAACTAAAAGAGAACCCTGGGCCGGCGCCCTTTCCGGGAAAAAACCGATGCGAGGAGATCGCATCGGATCATGGGCAGCCCTGGGTGGCCAGAGGCTGGCACCCTGCGGGCGAGGGCGCGGGGATAGGACGAGAAGCATGCCATGATCCGATCGGCTTTTTTGCTTTCCCCGTAGAGCCAGTCGCGCTCGGCTGTGGCCTGCTAAAACCTTTGCACCTAGGAGCCTCGGAAACCCGCAGATGCGACGACAGGCCCGACTTAAGGCTTTGCTCGTTGCACGGCGCATGCCGCGCACGGCGATAGGGACGCGCGGTCACCCCCACGAGGCGCCGTCCGACACTTGCCCAGGCAAGTGTAAACGTGAACTGCCGCGCCAGGAGGGCACGCCACGAAAGTCCCGCGAGCCCTCGGGGCGGAGGTGGAGCAGAACGCTTCCTCTATGGGAGCTGAACTCTATACACTGATGCTTTTCGCGGCCCCGTACTGAAGTTTGCACGGGGAAGCGGATCCTGGTGTATACGGGATCCTGGCGTACCCGGGAAAACGGGGAAACAAGTATACACCATACCACCCCGACGTCGTCCCCGACCCTCACAAAGTCCTGGGGTTGAAAACAACCCGCCACTTGTAATGTATAGGTTCCAATATCCGATCCTCTTCCAACCCGTCCTTTCCCCTCGGCCCACGATGCGTTCCGTCAGTTCCTCAGCATCCGGCGCCCCTCGCTTCCGGAGCCCGTGCGGAACAGTGGGAATGTCAAACGTACCACAGCCATGCCTCACTGCCTCGTGGCGGTCCTCTGCGAGGGGGCACCTCTTTAAGACCGCGCGGCACCTCGCGCGACCGCGCGCCCGCGCGCGCGCGCGC